TTCTTCCCAAGTCCCCCTCCATCCTTCCTTCCATTTTTGTGGCCCACTGTATTTAATTAGGGCTGCTTGCATGAGCATTGGTGGGGAGTTATTTAAGCAAGGGCAACTTACCAGTGGCCACACCATTGGAGTATAAGTCTCCCTACCCCAGCAACTGCTAACTACCCGTAGTTCTGCAGGGAGTAGGATCTCAAAACCCCTTCCCCATCCATGATGGAATGTTGATGGCCCAGTCACTGCAGGTGCCCACAGTTGAGTTCACAAGTGCAGTGGCCATGTCATTCCAGTAGACAGTGTCTCACAGCACTCCTCTGTAGCTTCCATTTTCTTCTGTCTCCTCTTCTGCTGTGTTCCCTTTGGAGGGGATGACATAAATGTCCCATTTAGGGCTAAGGACTCATTAGAATTTATTCTAAGATCAATGAGTATCTCCAACAGCAATAATTTCTCTTTTTCCTTGCAGCAGACAACTCCACCTTTTTCAAGAACTCATGGAAGTTTTAAAGAATTGCATCGTCTGATGTGTCCTCACCCAAAGGCAAGTTCCCTTCCAAGCCAGTCCACTTGCAACAAGGCCAGGACTCTAAAGGCCCAGTCTTCTCATCTCAACTTGAACAACTGGAAGAGCAATTGAGCTTCAGAGCTCCTCATGGAGTTGGCTGAGGCCTTCATGGAGACCCACTACAGCCTAGCTTTTCCGTGTCAATTCTGCATGTTAATCTTGATGTCTGGGCTGCTTCCCAGGGAATTCATAGCTTCCTTCCTAGGAAATGCATGGCCTACTAGGCATGGCCCCTCTGCTTCAGAAACTCTTCTGTACTATCCCCTCCTTCATCAATCCCTCCATTTACAACCCATAGCCTTTTAAGGTCTTTGAACAGGGAATTGACTCATTTTTTTAAGTCTTTACCTGGTGAACCCATCCTCTTTACCCATTTACCTCAAGCCTATTGGTCTATAAGATTTGTCACTTCAAACATAATTCTTTCACAAGGAAAACAGAACAATTCCCTTTGTTACAGTCTCATATGTAACACTAATTCCTTCCTTTGAAGCATTTAGGTTTATGGCCATCTACTCTCCCAGCATCACTAGGATCTACTCAACATTTAAATCCTTGGTGGTTTGCATATTGCCAGGTAGAAGATGAATGTGAGTGAGCAAGACAAAGCTGCTACCCTCAGTGAATTTACAACCCACTGAGAGAATAAGGGCATTGAAATGTGATAGGTCTATATTTTCCTAATGGAGAAACTGAAACCAGTGTCCTGCGTAAGGTCACAGGCAATGCAGAGAACTGGGATTAAACTCAAACTCAAAAGATTCAGTAAGGGATTCAGGAATTGATCTTTTGTGATCTGGAGTAGATAATACAGCCTCTAATTTCCTCTGTGAATTTCTAGTAATTTAGGACTGCCTAGAACTGTGAACATATTGATCTGTATATATTAGTCACTTACCACTTGTGGCCATTAAGTCAATGAAATGTGGATGGTCTACATTTCCTGAGTGCAAAATGGATGTTAGCTTTCAAAGTTTGAAAGAAAAAAAAAACTGCTAATATTACTGTATGTAAGTCCCATGTTTAAGTTATAATTTTTGATATATTGATTTAAATAATATATATCATTAAACTTTAAAAACATAGACAACTTCTCTCTTATCCAAGCTTAGGTAATGGAGCAAAACTGTTGTGAGAGGCACACTATCTGACCAAACCTAAGTGAACAAAGACCTTGGGAAGAAGGGCTAATCAGATGAGTGAATTAAGTGAATTTTGGTTCAAAGAGTATCAAGTCTAAATAAACAAGGTAATTTATTTTTAAAGAAATGGAGCTGACAACATACAAGGAATTAGTGGACATGTAGTGTTACACATTAGGTGACTATTTGATGACCAGGGATTTGGTAAATATGGGCATTTCTGTGGTGGTGGAAAGGAAAACATAAACTTCAAGGTGAGGGAAATGTTGGGCAAAGGTTAACAGATGGACAACTGTGTCTACTTAGTTTTGCTTAAGTCTTAAGTTCCACACAGTAGAACAGAATAGGCTCTTAGTCATAAAAATATGATATGTAATCATCCCAGGAAATAAGAATTTATGCCATGCAGAAGCTTCACGTAAATTCAATTTATCAGGAAGAATTAACCCTGTATATGCTGGAGAATAATGTCATTAAGTTCTGAGTGCTGGCTTTGCTGCACTGAGACAGAATAAAACTTCGTTACACTTTGCTCAGGCTGAGCATTTTTATTTTCCTATTATTAAACCCAGGCTTAATTTTTACAGTTCATTGAAACATGATATACAGAAGAGTTCCCTGATGTTAATAATGGAGCTTATATTTTTATAACCATGAGCATATCCATGAAATCAGTATCAAGAGCAAGAAAGAACACTGTGGTACTCTACAAATCCACTTATGCTCCTTCCAACGACCCTCCCACCATCATGACTTCTAATGTTAAACATGCATTAGCTTTGCCTGGTTCTGTACTTTTATACAAGTGTAATCATATACTATGTAATCTTTTGCACCCTATGCTTAATTTTAAAGCATCAGTATAAACTGCAGACAATTGAATCCCAGATTCAGCATCATGTTTGGACAAGCCTTTTAACCTAAGCCTGCTTCCAGATCTGTAAAGTGGATTATAGCAGTGTATACCTCATAGGAGTGCTGTTAGGATTAAAATGAGATTATGTACATAAAGGGTTTAGCATAGTGACTGACATATGGCTGCAGCTGCTACACTGAACTCAAAAATTTAAGTCTGTGCAAGGCTCCAATGAACGAACTACCTAACTCAAGTAGTTCTAAACACCAGAGAAAAACATCCACTCTCTGGGCTGAGTCCAACCCAAATGTAATAGGAAACTTACTGATTGACCTAGCTCACTTTTTTTGGCCAAAGAAGAAATATATGTTACATATTTGTCTCTCCTAGGTCTTCCTTAAGGGTCCCATACTGCCTTCCCAGAGCACCCCCAGAACTTAGCTCAGGGGCAGAGCAAGTACTCAGTTCTAAGCCGAATAGTAAGTGCTAACTGTATTAGAACTTAGAAATGCATCAGAATCTACTCAAACTTTTAAGCTATGGTGGTAAAATGACAGTACTTAAAACAGAATAGGGCTGGCAAGATGATAGCAAGTAAAAAACAATCCCTGGACCCCTCAGTTAAAAGGAGAACCAGTTCCTGAAAGTTGTCCTCTGACACATGCATATGTGTGCACACACACCCACACATTAATAAAAATGTATTTTAAAAAACTGAATAAAATGAAATCTCCTCCCTCCTTTCCCTGTGCTAGACAGAAAAATCCAGTCAAATCAAGCATATTCCGTACTTGGAACTTGAAAAAACATGCTCGTTCTGAGAATTTCAGAAACAAGGGAAATATACATACTATGAGATAGTAAGTTTGCCTCAAATTCAATAGCTTTAAGTGTACTTGTGCCAAGATACTATGCTTCCAAAAATAGTCTTTCTACCACATTAGTCATAAATTTCTTTTTCCAAGTGCACCTTTCATGTTAGTTTGGCTGTATGTATCTGTGCTCATGTCAAAATAACAAACTGGATAAAGTGTAACATCCCGAAGAAGTCTCTCTTGATTCAATTTACCCTCTACTACCCAATACATTTTCACTTCTCAAAGTAGAAAATACATCTTCAAATACTATCATTTGCTTCACATTAGAAATTAGAAGTCTGATTACCTGGCTGGCCTATCACTCCATAACTACATAAATCAAAGAATAAATAGTATGGCTATTTTTTTAATGAGCTAAAATTTTATCAGTTTCCTGGCTATAAGGCAAAAGTGGTTTCATGTAGATATAAAAGGTATTTATAATTTGCTGTATGACTAATAGTCCCTGGTAGAGTCATGAGTAATTATTAAAATTCTTTCAACATTTACCATGATTTTCTAAGCTGTGTGACAGACACAGATATGAAATCAGAAACAGCAATTCCTACTCTTCACAAACATGAACAATGGGACTATTTTATGAAGCATTCAGGAAATGATTCACCGGCCTGTGCTTTGAAGGCTGAGATTTTAACATTCTAGTGAGACAGTGGGGGTGGGAGAAGAGAATATTATAAAAAGACATGGAAAAAGTAGTGTAGACATTCTTGGGAGAACCAATTCACAGGCATGATTGAAAATGAAGTGTGGAAAGGCTGGTCAGGCCCCAGTTACAAAGTAAAGGAGAATTATTATTTCAGCAATAAAAATTTGATCCCATCTATGTGCTGTTAATATTTGCTTCTATTTACATCTAAGGTGTGTGCCTAGTCCTATGCAACTTTATTTCACATACAAATGGAATGCATTAGAATTCTGGTTTCAGGGATCAAGTCCTAGAAACTTAATCTAAGTCTTCTACTGGGAGGTACTCATTTCCAGTGAATTAATCCCAACAGATTTCTAAGCCTAGAAGATTTAGAGATGGTACTGAGCTCACTTAAATAATTTAATACTGCCAAAACCTAACTGGTGGCCAGTTGGCCTTTCCTAGATGACACCCAGATACCACTGCAGTTTCTTGCTATTTCTATAAAATAAAGCTGAGAAAGCTGTGCAATAATTCAAATGAAGAGATAAAGAATGGCCTTATGCAGATGGAATTTGTATTAGACTTCAGTGTAGGAGGGGAAAGAAGAGATTATTCAGTGGGTAAACAAAGGGAAAGCAATTCCATTTAAAACAGAACAAAGGAGGGGTAGGCCCAGGCTGGGAAAAAGAGAAATCCACTTTGGATATGCTGTTTCCTATGTCAGTAAAAGTCACATGGAAGTATCTAAAAGAAAGCTGAGAATATAGTTCTGAATGAAGCTCAGTGGAGAGGTCACAGTGTATTCATAGAGGAAATCGCCTGCAAAAGGACTTCTAGGAGTAAAACAGCTAAGAACTCAATGTTGGACTCAGGCCTTAAGGGTTCCATCAAATCCATAAAACAAAACCAAAGTGAAACAAACAGTGCAAAGTCAGCTTGTACACAGATGCTTTATTTGGATGTTAATATATTAAAACACCATCTGTAAGATTCTCTTACAATGCAAAGTTTTCTCATAGAGCTACAAAACAATTTAGTCAGAGTAATTGTGGTATTAATGTGAAAACCTTACAACAAAATGCAGTATAGTATATATGTAGTCAGTTTCCATGCAAGTATGGCTGCTACCTGTATATCTGGCATCTTCATGGCAATCAAAGAATCCAAATGAACACAACAGTAAAAAAAAAAAAAAAAAGATGACTTATGATGCCTGACGTGTTTATGATTATAAATCTTGCATAAAGCAACAAAGCAGTTAACTGGAGGATTCAACCAACACCAACCCAAATATCCCTATGTCCAATAAGCCCAGGCTTATACACAATATATTAACATTTGGGATAATTTAATGCTTAAGAAAAATTATGCTCTGAAATGCATAGCTCTTTTAAGATATTATACTTTGGTGACCAGAGACTATCATATCCAATCCAGCTAAGGGTTACATTTTATAAAAGGAATTATGTGCTATTATTAGCTCAAGGTAACTGAAATGATACAGTATGATTTTGCCACAATCATGGGTTTTACACAAAATTTCTGTGAGAAATTAATTAGAAAAAACAAACATACTGAACATGCTAAGAAGATTCAAATTGTTTTACCTATTTGTTATCAAGAAGGCATAATCTCAGTACCACCACACATATTATTTACTTCTCACTAACATACAGTATGCAGAAACTAGCAATTGGAGTTAAAGCTTAAAACCCTTTTAAGTCTACTGCTGAAGAGCTAGCCATTTAAACATTCAGTAGTTCCACTTCCATTAACAGAAAAGTAGATAAAAAAAATCTTAAGCTGTTTGTTTTGGTTTGGGTTTGAGGCACAGTAGTATTTTTGGTCTTTGTAAGAATTTGTCTGGTAATAGTTGAATCCATTACATTAACTCGAGAACCCGCCATCATTTGCTCTTTATCTTTCACACAGTGCAAGTGGTGGTTGCTCTTTCCATCTCTCATAGCAGCAAGCTGATTCTGCTACTTTCCGTAGCAGCATACTTCAGGAGTGGAGAGGGAGAGAGTGTCAATTATAAATAATTCAAACTACAGTGTACAATTCTATTTGCCTGTCAGTGTTTAGGTTGACAGCATGCCATTATATGTCTAAAAAAATTACCTAAAATCTCTACCACAAAGCAAATAAAGACATTCTTTCAAGAAGAATGCAAAGTAAGTGCAAACACCTAAGCAGGCAACCGAAGCAACTGTTGTAACCTGGAAACACAAAACATTTATAAAAGGACAAAATATTTATATAAATAAAAGATAATGTTTTCGACTTCTGAAACATTGAATACGTACAATAAACTTCTAAGTGCAGACTGTTTCAGGGACCAAAGTACCATATTATTTTTTTAAACAAAATGCAACAATTTTAAACACATATACAAATCACCAGATTAATTTATATGACCCTCCAATATAATTTAAAAAGAAAATATTAAATTATTTAGTACATTTTTAGAACTACTTTATAACCAACATGATTTAAGGGATATAGTGCAATTTTAGGTAGATGTGACATACAGTATAGATATTGTATTCTTTGTAGCTATAACTTAACTATTTCATACTTGAAAGTAAAAATTCTTTACTATGTTAGCTGTAATGACAGGAAACAACACTGGCTTCTAGACAGCCTGTATATATATCTACATTTAAGCTTTAAAAATGAAAATAAATTATAAAAACAGACATTCTTTCCAATGTACAAAGCTTTCCTGCTTCTATATACTGTACAATACATTCAACAAAACTCTCAGCTCTTCTGAGACTTGCGAAGAAATACTGACTCTTTACTAATGAGAAAAAGCCCATGTTCAATATTTTAGTACTGTGCTCAAATAAATATGCTTAACACTGTAGTTAACAATTTTATTGTTCCTGAAAAATACCAAAAGTTAGTAGTGCAACTTTCTATATTCCTTTAGACTCCTTTCCACTGTGTTTCTTTGTAAGTGGTAGTCTAAGTAAATTAGCACATGGGCGAAAGTACTTCATAAAGCCACTGCGCTTCCTAAACACAGACTATTTCCAGAGACCACATACTAACACACTTGTCTCAAACAAACTACAGTTTCAAAAGAGTAGCAACATATATCTTGTACAGAAAATATGTGACAATTTGCTTTTGGAATACCCATGAATATCCTTATTTCACCATTTTGTTCTTTAAAAACAAATCTTAAAACTCTCATCTCTTAAAAATATAAATAATGAATTTGTCTACCCCATACTTTAAGTGGCTTATTAGCTTTTAGCCTGCCCAGTATAGAAAAGATGCCAACTATTTTAGGGGTGTATTAAAACCTTTAAAGAGTTAATTGAAAAAATTTCATTGCAACCTAATTTGGCATAAAATACAGTAAGGTAGTGGGGCATTGCATTTGTTTTAATATCAATTACAGTATCAGAGCCCTTGAAGTGCTGCTGGTAGCCGTGTAGGCACTTAGGTATCTTCTTGCTTGTTCAGTCATGATAAGTTGGTCTTCTGTCTTCCCGTAAACCACTGTTTCCCATTCACAATTTGACTATGGAAAAATATCAAGTGATATGAAGATTAGTAGAATAACTACCCATATTATTTCCCAATGAGAGAGAGAGAGAGAGAGAGAGAGAGAGAGAGAGAGAGAGAGA